TGAAAAACAAATTCAAGCCACAAGTGGCAATACTTTAGGATGCTTTGGGCAAAATGTTAAGTGACCCAAGAAGCATTAAAAGAAGATGGAAGGAATATCCAGAGTCACTGTACCAGAAGGAATTGGCTGACACAGAAGTTCATGAAATAACATATGAGCAAGAGCCTGTGGTGATGAAGGAGGAAGTTCAAATTGCTCTGAAAGAATTGGTTAAAAACAAGACTCCAGGAGTTGACAGCATACCATTTGACATATTTCAAAAAACAGCCCTGGATGTGCTCACTAAATTGTGCCAAAAAATCTAGAGGATAGCCAGCTGGCCAACTGACTGGAAGGGATCGATATCTGTTCCCATTCCAAAGAAGGGTGACCCAATAGAGTGTGGAAATTATCAAACAAAATCATTAATATCACATGCAAGCAAGATTCTGCTGAAAATTATCCAAAAACGACTGGAGCAACGCATCAACAGAGAACTGCCAGATGTGTAGGCTGGGTTTAGAATAGGTAGTGGTACTAGGGATATTATAGCTAATATTAGATAGATCTTGGCAGAAAGCAGAGAGGACCAGAGGAATGTCTATCTGTACTTCATTGACTATGCAAAGGCTTTTGACTGTGTGGATCACAACAAACTGTGGCTGACTCTGAGAAGAATGGGAATCCCAGAGCACTTGATTCTGTTCATAAGGAAACTGTGTGAACGGAGCAGAGGAGTATTGATTGGGAAGGCAGTGTGTCAGCGATGTATTCTATCTCCATTTCTTTTCAATCTGTATGCAGAACAGATCATCCAGGAGTATGGGCTGTACAAGGAGGAATGTGACATCAGGATTGGAGGAAGATTCATCAACAACCTGTGTTATGCAGATGATACAACCTTGCTTGCTGAAACTGAGGAGGCCCTGAAGCAGTTACTGCAGAAAGTCAAGGACTGCAGCCTTCAATATCAATTGAAGCTCCACATCAAGAAAACAAAGATTCTCACCACTGGGCCAATTGGTAGTATCAGTATGGATGGTGAAGAGATTGAGAGAGTTAACAGTTTTAGTTTGATTGACTCCACAGTCAACACTCTTGGTACTAGCAGCCAGGAAATCAATCATGAGCTGAATTGCATTGGGAAAGTCTGCTGTTAGGGACCTCTCCAGAGTACTGAAGAGCAACACCAGGCTGGAGACTAAGGTGCGCCTGATCCAGGCTACAGTCTTTGCAATTACGTGCTATGTATCGGAGAGCTGGACGGTGACTAGAGATGATAGAAAAATAATTGATGCCTTTGAGCTGTGGTGCTGGAGAAGAGTGTTGAATATACAATGGACAGCTAGGAGAACAAACAGGTTTGTCCTGGAGAGGGTGAAGCCAGGCTGCTCCTTGGAGTCAAGGATTCTGAAGCTTCGTCTGACATACTTTGGGCATGTTGCAAAGAGGGACCAGTCTTTGGAGAGGGACATCATGTTCAGGAGAGTGGAGGGACAGCATAGGAAAGGAAGACCCTCAATGAGATGGATCGAGACAATGATTGAGGCAGTGGGAGTAGGTGTGTTGGAGACAATGAGGTTGGCATAGGATAGAGCAGGGTTTAGGGCTCTTGTACATAGGGTAGCTATGAGTCCCAAGCAACTCGAAAGCACATAACAACATGTTGGACAGATTCTGAAGCTATCTGAGATTACATGCCAGACTGGGTCCATTTGTATGAAGAATAAGTTCACTCTGTTTTCCTATATTCCATCATTAATTTTTGGTTAAAACCTAAAGGCAGTGGCTGCATTTTCCCATGCATATATATCACTGTACACAAGCATCGATAACCATTAACAAGTTTACTCAGAATTTCTAACTAAAGAAGTCAAGATGATTCAATCTTCTTTTATAGAACTACATGTTCTGTGCCTGTTCTGTTCACAGATACACTCCTTTGCAAGCTAAGGGACAAAGTAAGCAGTAGTGATGGCTTGATAAGCCCTGTTATTCTGGCTATACTATTAGTCCCTAACAATCCTGGGAATAAATTTCACAGAGTATTTCAATAACCAGAAGAAAGGTAACATCATAAAAGTTGTAAATGTTGACAAGTACTTAAAAATTATCTCATCTAATAGAGAAATCACTATACCACTCACCTACTTTGTTGTTCAGTATTTCTTGAGATCTCAATTTTCCTATATTAAAAGATGACACCACTGTGAAATGGCACTTTGAAGAAACTCTTAACTGTGTTCAGTCTTCTGCTTACAGATTGGGGTGGGGTAAGACTGAGAAAAACTGGATTAAATATGTTTACGGCATTGAAGTCTATGGGGGAGAGAATAGT